CCTGGGAAGGCCCGACCTTCTGAGAGGTGCTCTGCGTCTTCGGGGAAGGCGTAAGGAACTTTCTACAAGGCCCGGGGGACTTCCGAGCCTCCTGGGAAGGCCCGACCTTCTGAGAGGTGCTCTGCGTCTTCGGGGAAGGCGTAAGGAACTTTCTACAAGGCCCGGGGGACTTCCGAGCCTCCTGGGAAGGCCCGACCTTCTGAGAGGTGCTCTGCGTCTTCGGGGAAGGCGTAAGGAACTTTCTACAAGGCCCGGGGGACTTCCGAGCCTCCTGGGAAGGCCCGACCTTCTGAGAGGTGCTCTGCGTCTTCGGGGAAGGCGTAAGGAACTTTCTACAAGGCCCGGGGGACTTCCGAGCCTCCTGGGAAGGCCCGACCTTCTGAGAGGTGCTCTGCGTCTTCGGGGAAGGCGTAAGGAACTTTCTACAAGGCCCGGGGGACTTCCGAGCCTCCTGGGAAGGCCCGACCTTCTGAGAGGTGCTCTGCGTCTTCGGGGAAGGCGTAAGGAACTTTCTACAAGGCCCGGGGGACTTCCGAGCCTCCTGGGAAGGCCCGACCTTCTGAGAGGTGCTCTGCGTCTTCGGGGAAGGCGTAAGGAACTTTCTACAAGGCCCGGGGGACTTCCGAGCCTCCTGGGAAGGCCCGACCTTCTGAGAGGTGCTCTGCGTCTTCGGGGAAGGCGTAAGGAACTTTCTACAAGGCCCGGGGGACTTCCGAGCCTCCTGGGAAGGCCCGACCTTCTGAGAGGAGCTCTGCGTCTTCGGGGAAGGCGTAAGGAACTTTCTACAAGGCCCGGGGGACTTCCGAGCCTCCTGGGAAGGCCCGACCTTCTGAGAGGTGCTCTGCGTCTTCGGGGAAGGCGTAAGGAACTTTCTACAAGGCCCGGGGGACTTCCGAGCCTCCTGGGAAGGCCCGACCTTCTGAGAGGTGCTCTGCGTCTTCGGGGAAGGCGTAAGGAACTTTCTACAAGGCCCGGGGGACTTCCGAGCCTCCTGGGAAGGCCCGAGTGTTCTCACTTCCCCCCTGGGCTCGCCGCCGATACAGAGGATGTGACTGCGCCAGGCTGTGGTTTGCGATCTGCGTCGGTCGGGGCTTGGGGGGCACCGCGTTGCTCCGCTCGGGTCGCCTCGGGGTGCGGCGAAGAGCTCCTGCGATGCCCTCGCCCGCCCCTGAGGGTGCGGGTTGCAAGCCACGCCCTTCGGAGTCGCCGACAGAATGGGGGTGCGGGTGCAGCGTGTGCGGACCCAGACATGCGCTGCTTGGATTGTTTCAAGGCCCTTTCCCGGGCGCCGGCTTTTCGTCCCGAGTCGTTCCTTGACGGCCATGGGGCCCGGCGAGGGCCCCCTGAGGCCGAAAACACCCCAAAAGTTTGTTGACGTTGCCGAACGGGGAGGGATCAATGGTGGGGGGTGGGGGTGTAAGCAAGGTGCACGTCTCGTGCCCTAAAATCGGCGGCGAGCGAGGGGGGGAAATGAGAAGGAGCAGGCCTTCTCAGAAGGCGGCGGGACTTCTCAGAAGCCCTCGCGCCTTCTGAGAAGCTCTTGCCTGTCCTCGGGGAAGGCTTAGACAACTTCTCCAGAAGGCTGGGGGACTTCCAAGCCTTCTGAGAAGGCCTCCACCTTCTCACGTCCCTCCCCTTGGCATCGCTCGGACGTGTGTATTTTCCCTTCGGCGAGGACCATCAAGGAGCATCCTTGATCACTTGGCGGAGAAACCACGCACGAAACCGAAAAAAAACACAGGGAATAGACGTCCGAGGGATGGCCAGTCCCTCGCCGCTGGAGACGGGGCCCCCTGGGGCCCAGAAATGGCACGGCCAGCGCACGCTTCCTCGCCCCCATCCCCACACGATAGGCAGCGCCAAGGATCGGGAGGGGAAGTAACACACGGACACAAGGAATCGTCGACCCCCAGGAACAGTTGGGAAAGTGTGGGAAGTTGTGGGGGGGAGACGACGAAAGCCCAGCGAGTGTGGAACAATCTTGGAAATCTTGGGATCTGTGTGCGTGCTTGCTTGTGTGTCCCTGGGCCCCTCCAATGGACAGCTCCCGTCGCGCTCTCCTCACGATCGCGCGGGTGCCGTGCGAGGCCCGGCGGCCCGCGTGCAGGGCTAGGATAGGAGGGGAGGCCGCATGCGGACCCCCGACGTCGTGACTGTGAAGGCCTTCCGGCTGCTGCCGCCGACCCAGAAGGACGACGACGACGACGACGACGACGACGGCGACGACCACGACCACGACGACGACGACGACCACGACCACGACGACGACGACGACGACGACGACGACGACGACGACGACGACGACGACGGCGGCCGACGACGACGACGACGACGACGGCGACGACGGCGACGACGACGACGGCGGCGACGACCACGACCACGACCACGACCACGACCACGACCACAACCACGACCTTGACGACAACAGCAACGAGCTGATGACCCTGCCACAGGCTCGGGACATGGGGCGGGCGGTGGAGCGATCCTTGTCACAATGTCGACCCCAGAGGTCTGGACCCCTTCCCCGGGACCGGTGTTTCATCCTGAGTCGTTGTTTGACGGTCCCCGGGGCCCGGTGAGGGCCCCCGGAGGCCGAACAGAGCAACAGCCCGAAAGCCCGCCATGTGGTGCGCCCCGGTAATTGAAAAGAGGGGGGTGGCTCGCAGAACCACCCCCCCCTCAAAGGGTGGGTGAGATTTTCGGATCCGACCCCCCCCCTTTTGGGGCATCCAGCGGCGCGCCCTCCAACAGACGCAGAGATCCAATACCGTGATGTTTTCCCCACGGGGTCCCTGGAAGGGTCGGCCCCTTCCCCGGGACCGGTCTTTTGTCCCGAGTCGTTTTGTGCACGGTCCCGGGGCCCAGGGAGGCCCCCTTATATAGAGGCCGAAAACAGAGAAAGGCGCCCGTCTTGATTCTTTCAATGCGCCTGCAAGACCTCGCGCCCCCTGCACCTTGCCTCGGCCTCGGCAGCGCCCGCCTCCCGGTCTCCTCGCCTCCTCCTCGTCCTCCTCCTCTTCCTCCTCCTCCTCGGTATTATCCTCCTCCTTTTCCTCCTCCTCGTCCTCCTCCTCCTCCTCCTCCTCCTCGTCCTCCTGGGAGCCTCCCCTCGTGATGCCTGTCGCAGCGCCAGGGGGTCATGGGGCCTCGGCCGCGGGCGGCGCCCCCGCCCTCCGCGCCTCGGCCTGCCAGGGCCGCCCTCGCCGCCGCAGCCGGGGGGCGCCGGGGCGCCCCGAGCCAGCGGGCCAGGAGGGGCCCCAGGAGGGAGGGAGGGAGGGAGCAGGAGCAGGCCCCTCGCGGTCGTGCTCTTGATCCCTCTCCTCCTCCTCCTCCTGCTCCTCCTGCTGCTCCTCCTCCTTCTCCTCCTCCGCCTACTCCTCCTCCTCCTCCTCCTCCTCCTCCTCCTCCTCCTCCCTCCCCTCCTCCTCCTCCTCCTCCTCCTCCCCCTGCCCCCCCTCCTTCCCTCCTCCCCTCCCTCTGCTCGTCCTCCTCATTCTCCTCCTCGTCCTCCTCCTCCTCCTCCTCCTCGGTATGCTCCTCCTCCTCCTCCTCCTCCTCCTCCTCCTCCTTCTCCTCCTCCTCCTCTTCCTCCTCCTCCTCCTCCTCCTCCTCCTCCTCCTCCGCCATTCGTTTTCTTTAGAAGTAATCTCGCCCTGTCGCACCCCGAGGCCAGTTTCTAGGGTGGGCCGGGCGTTTCGCTTGAGACTTCCTCACCAATTATGATTCGGAAGCTCAGAAATTGGCAACAGCTTCACACATGTACCAGCGGGTGGTTTCCAACATGTGGCTCTCGTCTTAGCGCGGCGCACAGCAGTCTTGAGAATTTACACGAGCTTCACGGACTGAGGGCGGGTGGTTTTCAAAATGTGGTTCTTGCCTTGGCGCTGCGCACATTCGTTTTACGGAGTTGCCAAAGTTTCACGGATTGAGGGCGGGTGGTTTTCAAAATGTGGCTCTCGCCTTAGCGCGGCGCACATTCGCTGCACGGACTTGCAAGAACTTCGCGGATTGAGGGCGAGTGGTTTTTCAAAATTTGGTTCTCGCCTTAGCGCCGCGCACATTCGTTTTTAAACATTTGCAGGAGCTTCACGGATTGAGGGCGGCTCCTTTTCAAAACTTGGCTCTTGCCGTAGCGCCGCGCACACTCGTCTTAAACATTTGCAAGCGTTTCACGGATCTCCATCATCAACGTACCAAAAGTGATTGCTGAACGGATTCGGTAATGTGTGGAGGCAACAGTTACGTTGGTTCGCTGTGTTGAAGTCCTAGGAATCGCATTCTGGCACGATTAAGAATCGTCAAGACGCAACAGTCAGGTTGATCCGCGGCGCTGTAATCCCGAGAACAATGTTTTGGCATGCTTCAGGGTCTTCAAACTGGTGTCTTCCAACGAGGCAGTTCCATCAATGGAAATGAGCCGTGCAGGGGCCTATGAAGAGGGAGCTTGGAGGGTGGGTTTACTCCAACATCGTTGATGACTCTTGGGTTTACACTGGTCCTCCTCCTCCTCCTCCTCCTCCTCCTCCTTGGCCTCCTCCTTGGCCTCCTCCTCCTCCTCCTCCTCCTCCTCCTCCTCCTCCTCCTCCTCTCCCCTTGACCTTCGGCTGTCACCCTCACCCGTCGCAGAGGTGCTTCCCACCAGCCCTGCGGGGCTGCACCTTCGACCACTCGAGACAGATGCACGTCACCTGTGGGTGTGTGAGGGTCTGGGAGCACGGCTTCCCCAGGAGGAGCGTTGCCGACGGGGTTGCGTAGATCTGCCGCTGCCCTCTGCGTCGGTGCGGACACGCGAGCGGCGCGCCCAGGGATCACTGCACGGCTTCCCCAAGCAACGGAGGAGGCGCAGGGAGGGGGGAGGCCCCCTGTCCCCGTCCGCGCGCGCGCCCGCGCGCCGCCAGCAGGTACGTCCTGAGGGGGGGCCGCCTGCGCCCCGACGTTCGGGGCGGCGCCGCCGCCGCCGTGGGGGCGGCCGCCCTGGAGGCGCACCCGCGGTCGATCGGTCGATCGGTCGAGCGACGGCGAGGAGGACGACGAGGACGACGGCGCGAGGAGCGCATGCGGGGAAGGCACGGTCGGGAGCTTTGGCTCCGCGGGTCGCCCCGCCGGCTCTGGCCCACCACGCTCCGGCGCGACGCGCTATCCACTTGCCCGACGGAGGGGTTCTCTGAAGGGCTTAGGCGACCCCTCCTTCTCCTCCTCCTCCTCCTACTCCTCCTCCTCCTCCTCCTCCTCCTCATCCACCTCCTCCTCCACCTCCTCCTCCTCCTCCTCCTCCTCCTCCTCCTCCTCCTCCTCCTCCTCCTCGGGTCGCCTACAGCCCCGGGGGAAACCGTGCACCCAAACATCCACGTCCCGAGCCTTTCCGATCCTCCCGCCCACCGGAACAGAGCGAAACGCAATCCTCTCCCATGGCATAGCGTGTCGCCGGGGCCGCCGCCGCGACACGCTAAGCAGAAGTTCCTGACCGTGGGGAGTGAAGGGAGCCCAACGCCATCAGCCACTACAGTAAGGTCAGTGCAGGTGTTGAGGGGATCAGTGGCAGGGCAGTGATGGTGTACCGATCGGCACTGTGACTCTGGAGCTGACTGGGCACGCGGGCAGTCAGACGCAGTAAGCACGCGCGTCGGCGTGCAGGGCTGTGGCACCGCCTCGAACGAAGCGAAAAGACACGGCGACGAGGTCGACTCCGATTTCCTCCACCTTGGCGGTTTTTCGAGCGGTGCTTCGGCCCTCTGGGCTCTGTCTCCGGGCCACGGGGCCGTCAGAAATGGGTCTGGGGCGACAAACTGCCCCCGCGGAGGTGGTCGGGGCTTCTGGGGCCGCGGCTTGGAAGGATCACGTCGGCGGATGTCCCAGGATCGTCGCCCTCGTCGTCGCCGCCGTCGCCGATCGATCGTCGCCCTCGTCGTCGCCGCTGTCGCCGATCGATCGATCGATCGATGACCTCGTCGTCGTTGACGCCGATCGATGGATTGATCGTCGCCCTAGTCGTCGTCTCTGTCGATCGATCGACCGCTGTCGTCCTCGAGGATCGAGGCGCAATCCCTCCGTCGTCGAACGGTTGGCGGGGTGCGAGGGAGACAGGCCGCCTGACGACAGCGACGGCGAGGGCGACGATCTCGATCGGCGGCGCCGATGACTAGGGCGACGATCGATCGATCGATCGGCAGCGGTGACACTGGCAAGGGCAGCGACGATCGGTGGATCGATCGACGACACCGGCGCCGAGGGCGATCGATCGTCTTCCTCGTCGTTGTCGCCGATTGATCGCAGCTCTCGTCGTCGTTGTTGTCGATCGATCGCTCGTCGTCGTCCTCGACGGCGTTGTCGTCGGTCGATCGTGCGTGATCCTCGTGGTCCTCCTCCTCGTCCATCAATCGGTGTACGCATCAGCGATCTGAGACCTCTGGGGGGGGCCTCCCGGGGCGTCCGTGGAGACCATTGGAGACCTCCGAACGCGGAGACAATATCAGTCGTCGTCGTCGTCATCATCGGCGTCCGTGGTCGTCGTCGTCGTCTTCGTCGTCGGCGTTCTCGTCGTCGTCGTCGTCTTTGTCGGCGTCCGTCGTCGTCGTCGTCGTCGTCGACGCCGTCGTCGTCGTCATTGTCGGCGTCCGTCGTCGTCGTCGTCGTCGGCGTCCGTCGGCGTCGGCGGCGGCGGCGTCGTCGTCGTCGTCGTCGTGGTCGTCGTCGTCCATTGTCATCGTCTTTGTGGGTCGGCGGCTGGCCAGAAAGCCACTCGAAGGTCGGTCCCTGGCCCCCTCGGCGGCGGACGTCCTGGCCAGTCTCCCTCCTCCTTCCTCCTCCTCCTCCTCCTCACCCGAGCGTCGCGCACAAGCACAAGCACACAAGCGCTTCCTCCTCCTCCTCCTCCGCCTCCTCCTCCTCCTCCTCCGCCTCCTCCTCCTCCCCCTCCTCCGCCTCCTCCTCCGCCTCCTCCTCCTCCCCCTCCTCCTCCTCCTCCTCCTCCTTCTCCTCCTCGTCCCTTCTCATCCTTCCTCCTCCTCACCCTAACCCCAAGATGGTCCCAGGAGGTCGAGCGTGGCTCGAGCCGCGCCCGGCCGCGGCGACGAGAGCCTCCCCAAAAACGCCCAGAAGCCCATGGAGCGAAGACGTCATCGTCGTCGTTCGATGTCGTCGTCTGTCGTCGTCGGCGCCGTCGGCCGAGAAAGACCTCGATGAACACAGACGTTCGGAGGTCCGTGCGGACCTCCGTAGTTGTATGTGTATGTCGTTCCTTCCTCCTCAGCGACGACGACGACGACGACGACGACGACGGACGACGACAACGAACGACGACGACAACGAACGACGACGACAACGACGACGACGACAGCGATGACGATGACGACGACGACGGCGGCGACTGGTGCTGTCCTCCGCCCTCGGAGGGATCCAGAAGACCCCGCGGAGGTGTCCGAAGGCCCCCCGTCAAAGGTCCAGAACGCCCATCGACCGACCGAGTGACGCCGCCGACGACGACGACGACGACGACGACGAATACGACGACGACGACGACGAGAAGGACGCTCGACCGGTCCACGGCAACGCCGAGGAGAACGACGAGGACGTCTTCGCTGCACAGGCGTCTGGGATTTTTGTTCTGGCCTCTCGTCGCCGTGGTCGGACGTCGTCGTCGGACGTCGTCGGACGTCGTCGTCGTCGTCGGCGTCGGCGTCGTCATCATCGTCATCATCGTCACTAGTCGCTCGCTGTCCTCGTTTGCCGTCGTCGTCGTCGTCGTCGGCCGTCGCCGCTGAAGGTCGTCGGCGTCGTCGACGTCGGCGGACGTCGTCGTCGTCGCTCGTCGCTCGTCGCTCGTCGTCGCTCGCCCGCCACCAGGCGCCGCCGAGCGGCCCAGGGGCGGGCCGGGGCGCCGTGGGCCCGGAGGGCCCCCCGGCCAGGCAGGCCAAGGAGCTGCACCAGGACGCCCTGGCCGCGGCGGCGGCGGCGCTGGCGAGGAGAATGAGAACGACGCTGGGCGACGGCGCACGAGGTCGGACGACGACGACGACGACGACGACGACGACGACGACGACGACGACGACGACGACGACGACGACGACGGAGACGGCGACGACGACGACGACGACGACGACGAGGCCGCGGCCGACGCCGACGACGACGACTGAGGACGACGATGGCGGGCGACGAGGACAGCGAGGGACGACGACGACGCCGCCGACGACGACGACGACGCCGACGACGATGACGACGACGACGCCGACGACGAAGACGACGACGACGACCACGACTGGCGACGAGGACGGCGAGGGACGACGGACGGATGACAAGTACGATGACGGACGGACGGTGGCGCCAACGACGACGGACGACGAAGGACGACGTACGACGACATGTACGACGACGGACGGACGGGCGGACCGACGGACGGGCGAGCCGACAACGACGACGACGACGACGACGGCGACGACGACGGCGCCGACGTCTTCGTTCTGATGGTTTCGGGGATTGTGTAGGGGACTCCTGTCACCACGACCAGACGCGGCACGGGAAGCAGGCCAGGGCGGACCGATGTGCACTTGATTTTGTTGACCTGATTTTGATTCGCCGACGCCGCCGACGGCGACGTGTTCGCTCCAGATGTTTTTTGTGGCGTTTAAGCGGCCAGAGGTGGCTCGGGAAATTGGGCAGGGCGGATCTTGGGAGGGGTCGGACCAGTTCTTGAGCTGATTCGGGCCAGCCGACGCCGACGAAGACGACGCCGGCGCCAGCGCCGACGCCGACGCCAACGCCGCCGCTGCCGCCGCCGCCGCCGACGAAGACGCCGACGACGGACGCCGACGATGACTGAGGACGACGATGGCGGGCGGCGAGGACCGCGAGGGACGACGACGACGACGACGACGACGACGACGACGACGACGACGACGACGACGACGACGACGACGACGACGACGACGACGACGACGACGACGACGACGACGACGACGACGACGACGACGACGACGACGACGACGACGACGACGACGACGACGACGACGACGACGACGACGACGACGACGACGACGACGACGACGACGACGACGACGGCGACGGCGGCGGCGGCGGTGGCGGCGGCGGCGGCGGCGGCGGCGGCGGCGCTTGCGACGGCGGCGGCAGCGCGCAGGACCTCTCCCGCAGACAGAGGGAGGGCCGGAAGAGCAGGGCTCCGACGGACAGCGACTTGTGGGCGATGCTTAGGGAGCTCGAGGAGCTCACCCTTCACCGTCCTCCTCTCCTCTCCCTTCCTTCCCCTCCTCTTCCCCCTCCTCCTCCTGCTCCGTATCCTCCGCCCCTCCTCTTTCTCCCCTTCCGTACCCTCCTTTTCCTCCGCCTCCTCGTTACTCCTCCTGTTAAGCCGTTGGGCGATGCTACAATTCTCAAAACTTGAAATTAGATGTGCACTCTTAACGGCGAGGGAGTGTAGCAACGACCCGTCCCTCTATGCAAGATATATCCCTCCTCCCCCTCCTCCGTATCCTCCTGCCCGCATTGGTCCCCACCTCCCGCTGATGCTTATCCTTCTCATCCTAGAGTTGCACATGGCTTCCTATCTTCCTGCGCATACACATCCTCCTCTACCTCGTACTCCTTTACCTCATGACATCCCTACCCCTTTTCCTCGAGCTCCACATCAAACTCTCCCTCCTCCTGTCCTCGCTGCAACTCCTCCTGCGCATACACCTCATCCGCTTGTCTTCCCCGCCCCCTAGTTATCCCTCCGTGCCCCTCCGTATCCTCCGCATTCTGCCTTCCATGCTCCTGCTCCTCCACCTCCTGCGTCTCCTCCCGCGCATCCGCCTCCTCCGCCTCCTTCTCTCCATCCTCCCAGAGCTTCACACATCTATCCCCAGCCTCCTGCTGCACATGTTCGCCACCCTTTTTCCATTCTCAGAATCAGCTCTACGCACTGCCTCTTACCACCCCTGCCCAATCCGCTCTTCCTACCCATCTGTTAGTGCCGCTGCTGTTCGCCGTCCTCCGTTGTCTCTTCCTCCCTCCCCCCCGCCCCCGCCCCCCCCCCCACACCCCACTCCAAGGACCTCGCCTCCTCGCCTCCGCGCCCCTCACCCCACTCCACGGACCTCGCCCCCCCCTCCCTCCGCCCCCCGCCCCTCGCCCCCCCCCACTCCACGGACCTCGCCCCCTCCGCCCCCCCCCCCCCGCCCCCCCCCCCCCTCCACTCCTAGGAGCTCGCCCCCTCCGCCCCCTCCGCCCCCTCGCCCCCTCCGCCCCCTCCGCCCCCTCCGCCCCCTCCGCCCTCGCCCCCCCCGCTCCGAGGACCTCGAGGCCGTGGGCGCCCCCCGTCCGAGGACGGCTGAAGGCCCGCGGAGCGCCGCCCTCGAGCCGACGGGCGCCCCCTCCGCCCGTACGCCCCGCCCCGCCCCCCCCTGCGAGCCCCGCGCGCGGCGCGGCAGCTGCGCCGACATCCCTGCGCGCGCGCCAGCCCCCCGGAGCCCCTCGCGCTGGGAAAAGTCGCGACTGGAGGCGGTTCACTATCTTTTCGACGCCGCGAGAACATCACGACGTCGGGGGAGGTGTTTCGCTAGGTTCCGCCTCCGGGGGCCCCCCGGAGCCCCTCGCGCTGGGAAGAAGAGTCGCGACCGGACT